GCTCCCTGCTCTGCGGGAAGCCTGCTTCTCCATCTCCCACTCCCCCTGCTTGTGTTCCCTCTCTCACTGTGTCTCTCTCTGTCAAATGAATAAATAAAAAAAAAAAAAAAAGAAAAAGAAAAAGAGAAGCATGATTCATGGCGGAGGGGGCGGGGGATTGTTACAAGATAGGATATTATACCTTTTGGCTGCAAGCAACAGGAAACCCCACTTGGGCTGTTCTAAACAATAACTGAGCCCACATGAAAGAAAGTCCAGAGCCAGGACACACTTTGGGGTTGGTCCTCTCCCTTCATAAGCTTATCAAGGACTGGGGTTGTTTGATTCCTCCACTTGCTGCTGTTGACAGTGTCAGCCTCATCAGGCTAGTTCCCCTCACAGCTGTAGGATGTTGATTATTAGCAACTTTGAGTCTCACAACAACCCTAAAATGCCCGTTTTTAGAAAATTGAGACACAGAAATGTCAAGTTACTGATGCCAAGTTGTGGGAGAAGGAGGGCTCTCATTTGAACACAGTCTGTCTCCAGGGTGTCCTTTTAGCCCCTGAGCATTTCTCAGACTTTTCTGTCAGTCAGAATCACTGAGAAGCCTTGTTAAAACAGATTGCTGGGCTCCGCATGCTGATTCAGTGGTTCTGGGCTAGGGCCTGAGAATTTGTATTTCTAACAAGTTCCTAAGGGATGCTGTTGCTGTAGGTTCAGGGCCCACACTTAAGACCAGTGCACTGAACTCCGCTGCCTCTGTTGGGTCATTTGTGCCCGTGTTTATGAGCTTTAGGCAAAGTATTGGCTCCGCATTACTCCATCTTAAAAATGTAGAAGTCTTCTGCTAGGATCCAGCAGCAGGCTACTGTGTCTTGTCAGTTCTCATCAGCTACCAATCCATTCTTCAGCTGACAAAGGGATAGGTTACTTTTTTGCCAGTCACGCCTCCCCTTCAGTTGGATTTAGTGCCACCACCTGCTAGCTGAGTTGCTCCTCAGTGAGAGAGGTTTGGAATAGGTCATGGAGAGTCATCCATTTAGTGTTTCCATACCCCCCTACATGTGTGGCTCTCAGACAAAGAAACCATGAATTTTTCCAGGGCTGTAGGAATACAGGTTGTGTTAAACTTGTTGAAAGAACGTAGGTTGGTCTGCAGTGTAGCTTCTTTGTCAGAGATTTTCTAGGTATTTGTGCACACGCGTGTGTGTGTATGTGTTTGTGTGTGTGTTCATTCTAAGAAGGGGTTTTAAAAACCAAATCACCACAGGGGCTAGGCAGATATCTGAATGAATGAATAGTCTTTTCAATATTTAATTATGAAAAGTTTCAAATCTACAGAAAAAAATATACCTTAACAATGACTCACATACCCACCACCTAGATTCAACAATGAATATTTTGCTACACGTGCGTTATCACCTGTCTATCCACATGTACACTCATCTATTCATCGTGTACACTCGTGTACTCATCAAGGGTATTACTCATATATTACCTTCAATGCACAGTAGAGGATAGGATTTTATATTCCTTTGGCCTTTCGAACCCTCTGTAGTCTGCTATGACCTGCCTGCTCTCTTTTCATTCCTTATTTCCTCCCATCCCAGATGTCTTATCTGGAGGGCCCACCCCTGTTATTTCTCCTCAATCCTTCAAAATCCTGCCTGCCCTTTATGACCAAGATCATACCTTCCTCTCATAAAACCTGCTGTGATCTCTCTATCCTACAGTGACCTCTCCCTCTTGAGATTCCTCTGACCTACTGATTTTAAACCATGACTATACTTAGGAGCCTTTAAAAGTATAAAAGCCCTATCCCCAGAGAGTCTGATTTCATCCATTTGTGGAGAGACCCAGGAGTCCATAATTTACAACACCACAGTTAGTTCTAAAGTACAGCTAGAGATGAGGGGTAAGAACCATAGTTCTCACTCATCCTGGCTGTGCTTTATTTATAATTAATTACTTTGATGGAGGGCTGGCTTCTGGGATTGCTATTACCAAAGGTGGGGGGCGGGCAGGGGGGGTCCTGTTTTAAGGCCGTTCCACAGCCAGTGCAGAACAGTTGTGCTGATAGGGAACAGGAAATTTAGGGGAGCGTCCCCTGAGAGGGCACAGCATAGAATTAGTTTGGGAGACACAGTGTCATCCCTTAAGGGGGATGGTATTCTGAGAAGGGATGCAAAATCACATCACCAAAGGGACCAGGCAGGGAGCTAAATGAAACAAGTAAGGTAGGAGTTGCAGCAATCTGCCAATAATATGGGTGGGCTAATGGACCCCTAGTGTGGGTCACCTTCAGCCATCTGTGGCCCTGCAGCAATGCAAAGCCCAGAGTGGTCAGAGTATGGATTTTTTCAACAGGACTCATAAGTTGATATTTTCATGTGAAATCATCCAACATATAAGGGATATAAAGAAAATGTAGTGTATGGCTCAAAATGACCCTATCTATGGACTGCAGAGTGTGTCCTCTTTTAAAATCTTAAAAAAAAAAAAGATTATTTATTTTAGAGAGAGGGAGGAGGGGCAGAGGGAGAGAGAGAGAATCCCAAGTAGACTCCCCACCAAGCACAGAGCCTGATGTGGGGCTTGATGTGGGGCTTGATCTCACAACCCTGAGATCATGACCTGAGCCAAAACCAAGAGCTGGACACTCAACTGATTGAGCCACCCAGGCGTCCCAGATTATGTTCTCTTTTAAAAGACAAAAAAACTGATGGGCTAGGAAAAATCCCCAAACTGGATCCCTAGGCTCCTTGGGGCTTGGTTTCTGCACACCTCCACACCAAGACACCTCACCAAAACCTTCATCCAACGACCATTTATATTCCCACCCTCCGAAGTATAGCGTTCTAGGTAGCAGAAGGGCATTTGAAACTTTGTTAGGGGAATAATAATAGTAAGTGCACATTCAGTCACCTAAAAATATTTGACTGCTTAGTGTTTGCAGGCTCTGCTTTGGGCACCAGGGCAATAGCAGTGAACAATGCATATAGAACTTTCAGTCTAGTAGGCAGTCAGAAAATAAAAATGAGTAACGCATTATCTAGAGTTAAGGGGGTACATTAAAGCAGCAGAGGGGAATAAGAACCTGAGTGAAAAGGAAGAATTCTAGAACGGCTAGGGAAGTCCTCCCTGAGCACTTACTGTGTGCAACAGTCCTTTGTCTTGAATCCTTACATTTACCAACTTCTCTGATCCTCAGCACAGTCCTGTGAGATAAACACTGTGTTTTCTTGGTTCACAGTAGAAACAGAAATGCTGAGAGGTTGGCTAATTTGCTGAAGGGTACTCTAGTTGGGGACAGTGTGATTTGAGTCCATAGTCTTTCCAACCACACACTTGCACTCTTCAGGCAGGATCAGGGCAGCTGGAGTGTGAGCAAGGGGGAGGAATGGGTCCTGCTACAAAGTGTACATACTGGTGGGTACTCACCCCCCAGAGACTCAGCGGCTTCAAGTAGGTAGAGCATAAATGCTTAGACCAAGTAGTCTCTGATACTCTTCAAGCTCAGTAAGATGATTTTTTTTTTACTGTTTAACTTCGTGTGTGTGATGTCTTCCTCTTCTCCCTGCCTAGATTTAAAGCTCCCAATGTGAAGGGACTTGTGTTTTGCTTTCATCCCCGGTAGCAGCTAGCCTAGAATGTTGACAGTAATGGGTGCATAAATGATGCTGGCTGGATAGAGAAAGGAGAATAATGGTCTTTGAACCCTTGGGACTAAGGTCATATAGGAGAAGAAAAAAAAAATTGATTTTTCCTCTACCTATTTTGGGTTCATTGGCTGGGGCCTTATAAATTAGACCAACAAAAGACAGAGAAAAGCAAACAGAAGTTTATTAACAGATACACATGGGAGCACTCAGTGATGAGTATCTCAAAGGGGTGGTTAGAACTTGGGCTCATACAGCATCTTAACAAAAGAACAATAACTTTTTAGAGAAGCGACAAGACAAAGGAAAAGCATTTTGAGTTTTGAGGACAGCAAATTGTGGTGGAAGATAAGGGGTAGTTAGTAAGGTTTGTTGTGTGGATTCCTTTGGTGCCATCTCCTGGCTGATAGGGGTCTAGAGTTGTTTCCAGAGATTGACTTCCTATTCTTCCTGGTAGAGCCGGGAGCGGAGATACTTTCACAAATTTATGTTCTGCTCTTAGGCAGATAGGGGGAGAGCAGAGAACTTTTCTTGTGTCTGCTTCTTCTCAGTGCCTTCAGCCCAAAATAATCCTTATGCCAAAATGGCATAAATTGGAGTGGCATATTCTGCTACCCTTCATTCACAATCCAAAGTAGGGTTTAGAAATATCTACCTCCCACAGGGAAGCCTTTTGATTGCTTATCCTGAGCTGCGAGCAAGGCGCACTCCGGAAGAACAGTGCTGTGTTTTGTGTTAAAGGCATTCGTGGCATTCAGGGATGTGGCTGTGGACTTCACCCAGGAGGAGTGGAGGTTGCTGAGCCCAGCTCAGAGGACCCTGCACAGGGAAGTGATGCTGGAGACCTACAATCACCTGGTCTCACTAGGTAAGGATGGTTTCCCTTAGCACTTAAAATCTGCCCCACAGAGTATTTTCTACATATCAGGAGGAAAGGCTACCCAGGAAGCAGCTTTGTCCTAGGGTTGGGCTTAGAAACAATAATCCCCCACTCCCTCGGGAAATCTGGATTTAGTGGAATTGAAAACATGTAGATTTACTCATGTTGCCTTTAACACTGCATTTCCACGCCTCTTTCTCAAGGCTGGGGCTCTCTTTTTGCTTTATCTTGTTTGAAACCTAGGTGATTTTCCTTCACTAAGTGTTAATATGCTGTTTTCCTGACCAGAGTCACCTTTACTTACTCAGCTCTTCTGAGGAGAGTTCACAGTTATAGGTCCTTTGTATTGCCCTTTGGGTTTCCCTATGCATTTTGGCTCTGAGTTAAGAAATGGCCCCTTGAGCCCATAACCAAGAATCTCCTTGTTGTTGTTGTTGTTTTTCCCCATGAGCAGAAATTCCATTTTCCAAACCAAAACTCATTTCTCAGCTGGAGCAAGGGGAAGAGCCCTGGATAAAGGAGAGACAACATCCACTGGGCCTCTGTCCAGGTGAGTGTGACGCAGGGTAGATGGGACCATCCACAGCTTGGAAGATAGGGAAGGAGGAGGCATCTCTCAGGTACGGGAAAGAAGCTCTTCTCAGGCCTCTTAGGTCATTGGTAAGTCTGCCTGGCATGACCTCCCTTCCAGAATATCATTTTCAGTTGGGGTGCTGGGGCTTTCTTGGTTTCCTTGTTTCTTTCCTCCACCAGGAAGCCTCCCTTCCTTTTACTTGGCTTGCCTTCTTCATCATGTTCAGTCTTTCCTCATTCATGGGCTTCTTTCTCTTCTCTTGATCTTAAAAACTACATCTATCCTATGGACATTAAGTCTGCCACCCTTTAGATACTTTTCAGTTTCCCGTAGGTGAAATGTAATTGATTATTTCTACCTTTCCAATTCCCATAATTTAAAAAATGTGTTACTTAGTAATTAAGATTACAACAAGCTATGAATAATAAAAAAATATGCTCTCATGAGCCAACATCCCAGCTTAAGAAATAAGGCATTACCTAAACAATTGAAGTTCCTATTTCCCCTACCTCCCCATACCATGCCCAAAGGGAACTGTTTTTTCAAAATTAGGAATTTATAAATCTTATGCATGGCCTTTTGCTTTACTTCATATATGTGAATCCCTCAACCATCTACAGTGTTGTTTGACATTTTTAAACTTTCATTAATGTCATCATATTATGTATATATTCCCATAGTTTGCTCTCTCCACTGACACTGAGTTTGTAAGATTAACCCATGTTGATATATGTTGTTCTGGTTCATTAATTTTCATTACTATATAGTATTTATTGTATTATATGCATAATTACAATTCATTTATCCATTTTATTTTGTTGGACGTCTATGTTTTTACCAATTCTGGCTATTAAAGAATGCACTATAGGGGCACCGGGTGGCTTGGTCGGTTAAATGTCTGCCTTCGGCTCAGGTCATGATCCCAGGGTCCTGGGAACGAGCCCCGTGTCAGGCTCCCTGCTCAGCAGGGAGTCTGCTTCTCCCTCTCCCTCTGCCCCTTCCCCTGCTCGTGTGCACTCTCTCTCTCTGAAATAAACAAAATCTTAAAAAAATTGTAACTATAAACATTCTAATACATGTGTCCTTGGGCATATAAGCCCTTGTTTCTCTAAGATAGATGCGTAGGAGTAGAGTAGCTGAGTCAAAGAGTGTGCACTCGTTCATCCTGCCTAGGTAATGCCAAATTGCTCTCAACAGTTATTTCATTAGTTTGCAAGGCTGCCATAACAAAGAGTTATGCCTCTGACCATCCTTTGGGTATGAAATGGCTTCTCACACCAGTTTTAATTTAATTAGCATTGAGTTTGAGCATCTTTTCCTATGTTCCTAGGTTGATTAGCATTGATGTTACCTCTTCTGCGAATTTCCTGTTCAGATCTCTAGCCTGCTTTTCTTTTACTTGTTCATTTGTAGAAGTATTTAAATAAATCCTGGAAATGATTCCTTTGTCCATTAAATGTATTATGTCCATCTTCTTCCAATCTGTGGACTGCCTACCTGCTTTATAAAAAGCTGTTTAGGGGTGCCTGGGTGGCTCAGGTGGCTAAGTGTCTGCCTTTGGCTCAGGTCATGATCTCAGGGTACTGGGATTGAGCCCCATGTTGGGCTCCCTGCTCAGCGGGGAGCCTGCTTCTCCCCCTCCTCCCCACTCTGCTCTCTCTCGATATCTCTGTCACTATCTCTCTAATAAATCTTTTAAAAAATAAAAAGTTGTTTAATTTTGAAATAATTTAAGTCTCAGTTTGTAAAAATAATACAGCAAGTTCCCCTCTATTGTTTACCCAGCTTTCTCCAATTTCAAAACCAGGAAGTTGACATTGGTACAATACTATTAAATCCACTACAGACCTTAATCAGATTCAAATTTCATCAGTTTTTACATGTACTCTTTTGTTGTTGTTGCATAGTACTGTGAAATTTTGTCACTTACATAGATTGATGTAAGTGCCACCACAGTAAGGATACAGAATGTTCCACCACTAGAAAGAAACTCCTTCATGCTACCCTCCCTCCACCCTTAACCTCTGGCAACCTCTGATCTGTTTCCCGTTACTTTCATTTCAAGAGTGTTATGAAATTTACCCAATGTTTTAATGGCCTTTAATAATAATTTCATAAATTTTAATGTGTTTGGATTTGTCAAATTTTTTTGTGTTGTCTGTATGTGTGTCTGTCTGATTTAAGAATTCCTTCTCTCTGTCAAGATCATAAAGACATTATTTAGATTTTCTTCTTTAAATTAAAAAATATTTTTGCTTTTTATGACTTAGGTCTTTAATCTGTCTGGAATTGATTTTGTGTGTGTTGAGAGATACGGGTCTATTTTTATAGATTTCTAAATACGTCACCATCAGACTGGGCCCCGTTCATTGAATAATTCATCATTTTCCCCAATTTTTAATGCCACCTCTCGTATTTTGAATTTCAGTAGATGCCTGGATCAATGTCTGAACTCTCTTTTATTCCACTGCTGTATCTGTTATGCCTACACCAATATCACACTGTTTCAATTTCCTATAGCTTTGTAATAAGTCTTAGTATCTGGTAGGGTAAGTCTTCCTGTCTTATTCTTGTCTCTGTAGCTTCAGCCCAGTGGGCTTTTATTATCAGCTTGTCAGATTTCATAAAGTCTCCTGTCAGGATTTTGTTGTAGTTGCATTGAATTTATATATTCAATCATATACATATATTAATATACTCATTAATTTAGAGAGAATTGACATCTTTTAGAATATTAAGTCTTTCTCTTAGTGTGGTGTCTTCTTTCACTTATTTATTAATACATCCTTATCACTACCTCTTGCAAGGTTTTATAATTTATAATGTAAATATACATCTTTCTTTAAATTTATACATAGGCTTATTTTTTTTGTTGTTTTGAGAGTTACTTTTTTTTTGAGAGTTACGTTTTTAAAAACTAAATTTTTTTTTTTTAAAGATTTTATTTATTTATTTGAGACAGAGAGAATGAGAGAGAGAGCACATGAGAGGGGGGAGGGTCAGAGGGAGAAGCAGACTCCCCACAGAGCAGGGAGCCCGATGTAGGACTCGATCCCGGGACTCCAGGATCATGACCTGAGCCGAAGGCAGTCGCTTAACCAACTGAGCCACCCAGGTGCCCTAAAAACTAAATTTTTATAATTTTTTGTTAAAATGCAGAACTCAAATTCATTTGATCATAATGAGCATATACCAGCAGCCTTGCTGAATGGTTTAATTAATTCCATAATTTGTCCTGTGTATGTTCTTTGGAGACAACTGTTTCATCTGTTTATTTTGCCTTTTTTTTTTTTCTTTTGCTTTGTTCATCATGTCTATTATATTTATTATGTTTGAACTTCTATTTAGTATTTCCTTTCTATTCTTACTTTGGGCTTATTTTAGTATTTCTTTCCCAAGTTTTTAAGATGGATGCTTAACATTGTTACTTTTCAGGCTTCCTTCTTTTCTAATACAAGGATTTGACACTGTACATTTCCTTCTATTCTCTTTTTTTTAAGATTTTTTTTTTTTTAAGATTTTTTATTTATTTATTTGAGACAGAGAGAATGAGAGAGAGAGAGCACATGAGAGGGGGGAGGGTCAGAGGCAGAAGCAGGCTCCCTGCCGAGC